AGTAAACACATACCAGGTACAATGATAATCTACATTTTTAGATATAAATGTCCAGATTATAAAATGCTTTTATATACAACATTTTACTATAAAAAGTTCTCTATTTTGAAAAGAAATAATGAGCCATTGATAGCTAAACCATCTATCTAGAACTGGGTACATTTTCACATTTGAATATTTTGAAAATGAAATAAAACAGTATCATACTGCCACATAAAAACATGGTTCATCTACATCTGAAATTCAGTTTGTGGTACTTGTTATCAAATGTTATCAAAGATACAGAGAAGGAGAGAAAAATCCATCTATGATCAACCAAAACACCTGAAGGGAATAGGTGCTGCTGTATCAAGATAGAACTCAAAGATGGGAATGCTTCCTACTGGAAGAGTGAAGACTATGAGAGGACATGTTCAAACCACCTGAAATCCTATGTTATTAATTAGATAGAAAGGATATGAACTTCAGATTCTGAAATATCAAAATGAAGTCCTGTGTTCTGAAATCTCAGTTTAGAAAGGTCAAACTTGAAGTACTATATAATTTAAAAAAACATTTGGGAGAATGTATTAAGGACAGAGGAATAAGTGGTTACTAAAAGAAAATAGACTATGCCTGAACATTAGGTTTAATATAGATTTGAAGGAAGCTAATACATGTTTCCACAGTCTCGTGATTTTTTTTTTTTTTTTTTTTGGTGGGGCCTTTGGGAGGTGATTAGTACATGAAGGCAAAGCTCTCATAAATGGGATTGGTGCCCTTATAAAAGGGACCCCAGAGAACTCCCTTGCCTCTTCCCCATATGAGGACAGGTGTCTATGAACTAGAAGTAGGCCCTTGCCAGACACCAAATCTGCCAGTACCCTGATCATAAAATTCCCAGCCTACAGAACTGTGAGAAATACATTTCTATTGTTTTTAGGCATCCGGTTTATGGCATTTTATTATAGCAGCCCAAATGGACTAAGACAAGTCTCCTAGATATTCATCTCTTCAGAGGACTTCAACAGGGGCATGGAATACCAGAATTGTCTTTTCAGTATCTTCAAGTGCTCTCCTCCTTTCTTCATTTGCCAGTGTAGTTTGTCCTTGCTAAAGACCACTTTTCAGGGAACAGGTAAGGTGCAACTCTTCTTTGTCATCGAGGATGTTTTATTTTGTTTATAAGTGTTCACTCCCTCCTGTTACTAAGAAGTGGAAATTAGGCTTAGGAAATCATATAACTGAGAGAGGTGAGAAATTGAGTAATAGAATGGCAAGACCTTAAAATGAATTCAGGATTTAGTAACCATCTGAAGGACAATGACAGATGGTTAAGTTTAGAGGCGTACAAATATAATGGGAAGAGGTCAGATGAATTTCGAAAGCAATTGCAAAAGAACTGCGTGATAGTTTTGAGGAATAAAGAAGAGAAGAGAAACCATATGGTGAGATGATAATTAGGTTCAAGCATTTGCCTTTAAGAAAAGGAAAATCTTGGAGACTTATTTATGAAGATACAATATGAGGTAAAGGAAAAGGTTTATTGAAATTATATTATATTGAAAAGGAGAAGAGAGATGATGATATAGGTCTAAGCTGAAGAACCTGGGAGAGATTTTACAGCAAAATTAAAACTAGGAAAATGAAGAACAGAAATATTGTTATGCACAGATAGCAACAGGGATACTTTCTGAGAAACGCATAGTTAGGAAATTTCATCATCGTGTAAATATCATAGAGTGTACTTACACAAACCTGGATGGTATAGCCTACTACACACCTAGGCTATATGGCATAGCCTATTGCTCCTAGGCTACAAACCTTTACAGCATGTTACTGTACTGAATACTGTATGCAATTGTAACACAAATGTAAGTATCTCTGTATCTAAACATAGAAAAGGTACAGTAAAAAAATATGGTATTATAATCTTATGGGACCACTGTCACATATGCGGTCCATCATTGACTGAAACATCATGTGTTGCATGACCCTACAGTAATTTAAACAATACAGAACTATGAGTCAGGCTTCCTAATTATAAGAATAGTAGAATAGTTACGACAAATTGAACAGAGTTCCCCCAAAAAAATTACTTATAAAAATTTATCAAAAACATTTTGGCACTGAAAATAAACTGAGTGAATTCCTGACTTATTGGAATGCAGGTCTCTTCTTCATGTTCAGGAAGAAAAAGTAAACATCTTCTTAAAGTGTAGAGAAAAGTCTTCTGCTGAGTGTGGGTGACTGGCTAAGTATACTATTATAAAACTTCCTAAACTCAGGGATCCCTCCTTTCCCTAGGCTAGGCCCAAGTTTGTTTCTGTTAAGATTAAAAGAAAGTACAAGTTCATGACATCAAGTAACTAGTCAAAAGATTTTTCTGCTACCTGTTTTTTTGTTGTTTTTTTTTTTTTTAAATTTGCTTTAAGTGAGCAAATATCTTTGCCATTGGACAAAATAGAAATCCATTTCTTTTTCAGCGTAGTTCTACAAACTCATTTTTGCAACAAAATAAACCACTATCCATCAAGACACAGGAAAAAGGAATGCAGGGATTTAGGAATACCGTACTTGCTTCTCTTTACCTTTAGTGAAAACAGGACTGTTTTCATAACGCTCCTGACAATTATGTTGCCTTACGCAATAGGATGCTGGGCAGTGTGGGAACCTCGTGGACCGGCCTTCGAGTTCTCCTCAAGGTGCTTCATCTTCTCAGCTCCGGCACGACGTTCTCGATGAAACCACGCCAGGCCTAAGAGCGCGCTCTTCACCCGATTCTGGACACTGGGCTGTCCGAAGACAGTGATTTCAACTAAGTTCCCGGAGTCCACTATGTTCACCGTGAGCAGGGCCTGGCTCGTCCCCTGCATTTCTGGAATTATGGCTAGGTCTGGACCCAAAATCGCGTCCGCCTGCCGTGCCTTCAGGTGGGACACCAAAGGGTCCCTCAGTTCCTGCGCCGGAAACCACCGGGGCCGGATGCGCATCTGCGGCGGCGGAAGTGGCAACCTAAATAGTCTCTCCAGGGAGTGGGCCCGAGTCAGTTTGTCCCGCCGGGACGCAGCAGCAGCAGTGTCGTCCAGCATACTGGGACCAGCAGCGGCAGAGCTCACTCAGAGCGGCGGGGCTTCCTCCAGCTCTGCTACCTATTTTTTAATCAACTGGTTTGTGGCAGTTTCTCCTGGAGAGCTTTCCCTTCCCCTCATTCTTTTGAGGTATGGAAGGGGTGGGACGTGAAGTGGCTGGATTTTAAACCCCAGGAGTTACATGGATGATCAGATATCCTTTCCAGAGAGAGCAAGGTGGCAGCAGCCTGCAGAATGCCTTAGAGGGATCAGAGTGTAGCCTGAGAAAGCAGTTAGAGGCCCGTTCAGCCATCCGTGTCAGCAGGGGCAGAGCCTGTTCTGAGGCAGGGCAGTGGTGCGGAGAGAATAGATTTGAGTGGTTTTAAAGGATGAGGAATTGACAGGATTTAGAGACTGGATGTGAAATGGAGCAGGTTTCTGCTTAGGTAACTGGGGAGGCTGTGCTGCTATTCAGTGAGGTGGGTTTATTGGGTGAGGCAGGTGTAGGGAGAAAGATGCTGAGTTCACTTTTGTAATGTGTTAGATTTTAGGTGTCTGTGGGATAGTCTCATTTTTTTCTCCTTTCAATTTCTGACCACCAAACTTCTGATGAATATTTTTCTTTACATAAATTAATATACTTGTAAAATCAAAGTTACCCCTCCTTTAATTAAGAAAACGAATAAAAAATAACCCTTTCCCCATTGTGTTAATTTAATTGGTTTAATTCTTAGAGGGGCAAACTATTGCATTTTTCCCTTCCAGATTTTGGGGGTACTGCTCTCCGTTCACCCTGTACCATCTTGAATTAGGTGTAATTTGTCAAAGAGAGGGGAAAAATCAAAGAGAACTTTAAGGATTTCTGCCTAGAATACTAAAGAATAGTGCTGATGCTGGCAAACATTGGCAATTGGGAGGAGAAGTTTATAGCAGTGGGATTGTGAGAGGTTGTTTTTTATCTTTAGATTGGGAATATCCAAATAGAATTCTAATTTCATAGAATGTCAGACTAGATGGAATTTTCAAGGTGGCAAAAAAACCCGTTCATTGAGCATGTATAAATAATATGTACCAAGCACTTTGCTAGAACCCTTTCATATATTACTTCAATTAATCTTGATAATATGCTTGTAAATTGTTTCTCCTGTTTTATAAATGGAAATAGAGATTCTCAGAGGATAATTAAGTAGCTCAAAGTCACTCAGTTATTTAGTGGATAATTTAGAGTATGGAAGAATGATATTACCCTTGGTACTCCATACTAAGATTATGAAAATTGGTTTTGAGGGGCAAAGAAATAGTCTCTTTTTATGTATAAAGCGCTGATATACATACAGTGCATAAACAGATATATAGTATATCTAAGGTATTAAAATTTCATGGGGGAGATGATTTGGGAACAATGTCTAAAAGACTCTTTAGGGGGTGATAAAAAAATAAAAGCCTAAGGAACACTGATTTATATCCCATTTCATTTAATAAAGCTTTCACTCTTTTTTTCTTTTTTGCAGAATTCCTTTTTTTGTTTCACATATATCTCATGTTGAACATACAACAGGTAAAAGCAGTGTTGGTTTAAATTTCCTGTAGAGAGAGGGCCCAGAATCATATCATCTTGGATGCCTTTTCCCTCACCTTCTGCGGTGGTCCTTGAGGTACTGGTGTGAAATCTTAGAGCTCTGAGCATCTTAGTTTGAATGTTTGAGGAACACAATTTAACCTATTTACTTTGCAGATGAGTAAACTGAGGCAGGTTTGTAACGTGTAAGCATGAACTCCTCCAGTCACTTTATTATTTGGAAGTCGCCCACATAGTAGAACTGAACCAAGCATTCTGCCTTGAAGCACACTACATAAAGAGGCACACCATCACATCAGCAGACAGGAAGAGAAAGAAAAGTCCAAGCAGAGGTCAGGGAAAGAATGTTTAGAGAGATGATGAGAGACATAAGTGAGTCTCAAGAAGGATACTGTAATCAACAGCAGCAAATAGAAGATTAAAGACTGAGAATGAGGATCTGACAGTATAAAGTTCTCTGGTGACTTGTGACCATAGTGTCAGGACAGTGAGCAAGCACAGCTCGATTCCACATGAAACTGTTAAGTATTTCAGACATCTAAGCAAAAAGGTAAGGAAGCTAACTTTTCTAAGTATTGAAACTAATTATGCATTACTTTTTCATGACCCAAATATATAGAACATGTTAATCAAAGCAAAGCGAGTAAATAATTTTTAGTCTATTGTATTAAGACAGATTAAGTTAAACAGAACACAAAGCAAATAATGCACACAATTGGATGCCTTAAGAAGACACCTCAATAAAGACAGGCTTTATGTACATTTGATCTTAAGGAATGTCCAGAATATAGCAATTCACCTCAGGATAAAAAAAGAAAAGCACATATAGTGATGAGATAGAGATACAGATGAAAGAAAAAGACAATTTGAAAATCTCTATTGGGCACCATAGACTTCTTACAGCTTATTACATTTATTTTTAGCTTTGAGTGACATAGTTACTATTTGCTATTGTCAGACAAATTATTTTCCAAGTGACTCAACAAATTATATTTAGGCTTTAGTAATTGTGCTTTAATATGAAGGAATTAAACTGTAATCTTACAGCAGTCTTAATAATTACCTAATTCCTTTTTCCTACTTATTTAAATATTGGGAATGCGATCTGGTAGTGACATCTAATACTTTCAACTGAACCTTAGTTAAGTATATCACACTAATAGGAATATTTCTGTTCTCCTTTAAATGGCTCTATCATCTACAAACATGGGCAGATTAATTTTCTAATCAAAACACTCTGGGAAACTATTAAGCATGACATTAAACTGTGTTATACTAATTACATTTCCTATGAAGAATTTCTATCTGAACTTAGAGCATAAGACCCTGGAGAAAACTTATCAGAGCACAAATTGCTTAAATGTATTTTAAGAAGAATAACATATCCATATAATTTAGCTTTTCATACATACCTTAAATCAACTCTGTTCTCCACAGTGATTCCTTATGGTGGCAAGATCTTCTTGACCTTGTTAAACAGATTGAAGAGAAAAGGTGTGGGTGTATAATATGTCAAAGGTAAGTACTCAGCTCCAGCATGAATAATTATCCAAAATTAATCTTTTCTTTTTATTAAAATACTACTCTCACTGAAGAAAAAGAAATAACCAGCTGAACAAAAGTAATTGTGATATACCAATGGAAAAAAAATCATTTAGCAGGGATTAGAAAATATTTTCTATAAAAGGCCAGATAGCAAATATTTTAGGCCATGTGGTCGCTGTTGCAACTACTTAACTTTACTGTTGTAGAGCAAAAGCAGCTATAGACAGTATATAAAGGAATCAGTGTAGCTGAGTTCTAATAACATTTTCTTTACCAAAAACAGGTGGCAAATCAAAACCACTTTGCACCCACTATGATGGCTACATTCAAAAAATCAATTAAAAAAATTGTTGATGAAGATGTGGCAAAATTGGAATCCTCATACATTGCTGGTGGGAGTGCAAAATGGTGCAGCAACTTTGAAAACATCTGGCAGTTCCTCAAATGTAAGGTTACAGTATGAGAGAACAATTCCTTCCTTGTTTTTTTGTTTTTTGGTTTTTTGATACAGGGTTTTGCTTTGTTACCTGGGCTACAGTGCAGTGACATCATCATAGCTGAGTAGCTGGGACTCCAAGTGCACGCCACCATGCTGGCTAATTTTTTAACTTTTTGTAGATACAGGGTCTTGCTATGTTGCCCGGGCTGGTCTTGAACTCCTGGCCTCAAATATTCCTCCCACCTTGGCCTCCCAAAGTGCTGGGATTATAGGTGTGAGCCACTGTGCCCAGCCTTCTCCTGTGTATTGACAGATTTTTCTTTCGACCAAATTTGAGTCAGGCTCCTCTGAGTCCTCTCCGACCAGATTCGACCTTGGGATTTCCTGTTCTGTCCTTCTCAAATCCATTTAGAGCAATTTTAACCAAGAAAGACAAGTATGTGGACAGTGTGGAAGACACCATGCCCTAATTTTGGTAGGGCAAGTGACACCGTTATATCTTGCCATTGAGGCTTTGAAATGAAAGTGCAAAGTCAGTGCTATTGGCCAGATAATTATTCTAATACCCTGTCATTAAGTACAAAATGCTGTAAGATTTGTGTACAGTGAAGTATACTTCCACTGTAGTCAGGTGGTAAAATAAAGGTGAAAGTAGTGAAGCTAAATCAATTAAGCTTTGAATTAGACTTGTAATTGAATGTTTCCTGACCACTGGGAAAGCATGTCTGATAAAGAACTGAATTTTTAGTTTAATCTGAAACTGGAAGAGTGAAATTGTAGTGGCTTTCTTTGCTCTGTGTCTCTGCATTAATTTAAGGGATGTAAGAAGAAAACAAAGAAGAAAGTGGAAAGGCAAGGTAGAGGGGAGAGAATTTTTTTATTATTCAGAATTGAAAAATAATAAAGTCATCCTAAAAGGAAATTATTATTTTATACTTCCTTAGATGGACTTAATAGCTCATTGTGGGCTCAATACCAATAAACCAAGAATTGTGGAGGAATATAAAGAATTAAGGGACCCATCTCTAAAATTTCTATTTTTTTCTTAATTTGTACATTTTGTTAAAAATTTAATATGAAACATTTCCAACAAAGAAAATTATAGATAATAATAAAATAGACACCATTATACCTACCACTGAGATTAAATACATGTTAACATTTTGCTAGATTTTCTTCAGATCGTTCCCTTTTAATAAATAAAACATTTATAGATACTTTAGTTATAAAATTTCAACTTTAGTTCCTTCCCTCTTCTTCCTTTCCTCATTGGAAGCAGGTGAAGTTGTTGTGTATATTTCCCTTGTTTTTTACAGTGTTATTATATGCACATATATACATACATACATATGTATACACATACATGTACACATACATACATATATACATAAACATATATATACACACATGCATGTATATGTGTGATTTTGTGGGTATCATGCAGTTTACATATATTTT